TCCTTGAGGCTGAGGGAGTGGACAGGAACATGATCTGGGCCCCTGACGTACATCCTGATCACCAGTGCTAAAAAAGCTAGTTATAAACAACTTGATCCCAAATGGTCAGTAGCATTAGCAGATATTAGGCAAGGGACGATTCAAGTAAAAGAAAAAAATCAGCTAGTCATGGTTCGGGGCATGTATGGTGTTCAGTTCATCTGAAACAGGTTGAGACATATGCATAGAAAACTTTTAGGGAAAAAAGCCTTGCTCTAGTAACCCAGTAAAACTTATGCTTTAAATGCTTCCTAGCTCTACAGTCAAAGTTTATGTTGAATTAGAAGGACATCATGGGTCCTTATTTGTATTTAAATAGCACTTAAAAGTGATCAGAGAAACTCAATAAAATCTTTAAATTAAATAATACTTTTGTTGCATTTTTGTTAATAAAAAATTTACTGTGTGAATTAGCCACATCCAGCATGCACTGGGGTGGTTTGCAGCTGAGTGTAAAGTGGTGGCGATGAAAGTTAGCACCTCCAAGTCCATGGTACTCTGCTAGAAAATGGTGGACTGCTCTCTCTAGGTTGGGAGTGAGTTGCTGCCCCAAGTGAAGGAGTTTAAGTGTCTTGGGGTCTTGTTCACGAGTGAGGGTAAAATCAAGCCTGAGATTGACAGGTGGACAGAGGCAGCATCAGTAGTAACGCAGATGTTGTACCAGACTGTTGTGGTGAAGAAGGAGCTAAACCAAAAGGCAAAGGTCTCAATTTACCTGTCAGTCTATGCTCCAACCCTCACCTATGGTCACGAGTTGTGGGTAGTGACCGAAAGAATACAATCACAAATACAAGTGGTCAAAATGAGTTTCATTTGCAGGGTGGCTGCACTTATCCTTAGAGATAAGGTGCGAAGTTCAGATATCTGGAAGAGGCTCAGAGAAGAAGTGCTGCTGCTTTACATCAAAAGGAACCAGCTGAGGTGGTTCGAGCATCTTTTCAGGATTCCCAGGGCACCTCTCTCTGGAGGACTTCTGGGCATATCTAACTGGTAGGAGACCCCAGGGTAGACCCAGAACATGCTGGAAAGAGTATATATATTTCCTGGGAGCACCTTGGAGCTGGAAAATATTGCTGGGGAAAGGACTACCTTGCTGAACCTGTTGCCACTGCAACCTGATCATGAATAAGTGGAAGAAAATAGATGGATGGAGCCAGACAATATTGGTTGAAATCAACTGCAGGCCCTGGAGTCAAACTGAAATTGCATCATGGCCTATTTTTAAAGTATTGGCAAACACTGGATAGCTGCCTAAGAGAATCAATATAGGAACGTATCGTGATGAAACTGGTGATTTACACCCCTAATCTTAAATATGCGTGCAAACACTGCTTATATAATGTGTGCTAAAAGACTAAAGCTAAAGCATGTCTAAGAAAAAAATGAACATCTTTAACACTGATTATCCATGCAGAAGACATGGAAATAAGTCAAGTCTAGATTTTTATTTGCCATTTATGCATAAACAGACAGTCTAGTGTTAGGTATTTTTAGTCAGATATTAGATATTGCTTAGGTACTTGTATGTATTAGAAATGTTTAGTAGAGACAGGATGTCTGGTCAGACTGTTTAAATGCTTAGTCATTGTCATGGGTTTTTTACAGGGCGCACATGGTCAAGGATAACTAGATAGAAAAGTTTGACTGTCAGCAGACAGGATGATTATTATTATTATTATTATTATCTAAGCTGGCACATCAGGTGGCGTCACGGTTTGATGTTCCTGTGTAGTATGGGGCTAGCCCAACCGAAGAGATAAATGTATAGGCCTGTTGGGTTCGAGGTCTTTCATCTTACATCTGCCTGGGAGCAGTTTGGAGGTGCAGGATGCCTGAGCGTGTAATGTTAATTTTTACTTGCGTTCATGGAATAAAATCAGCACTGTTTTGTAGTTACTTGGACTGTCTCGTCTCTCAGAGGCAGTATGGTAAAAAGTACCAGATACAACACTAGGCATATAGGAATTCTTGTGCAGCTCTCCTTTGGAGAGTCAAAAGCCAGAAAGAACACTTAGGCTTAAAAAATAAAAAAAAGTTGCATAAAGGCAATAAAATACTAAAAACCGCACATTACAAAACGTTACATTAAACTGTCTACAGCCCCACTATTTAGAAATTACCAGAAAGTGATACATGTCTTTGTGGCAGATGCAAATGCACTTTTCCATTGTATAAAACATAGGCTGAGACACTGAGGATCCTAAGAAAACAACAGTTTCATTTTCTTATTGTGTTCCTTAATTTTTCTCTTCTCCAATGAACTTGTTTGCCTCACTTCTTTGTTTGACATGTTCCATCTTCTTTCATTCACATCATAAAACTTCAATCTTCTTCTTTGTGTCTTTCTTTACATCACAGTTTTGCCCTTTGTGTTTTTATTTACAGCCAGCAACACTGTCTAAACTGCCATTAGCCTACTTTACTTCTGACAGGCAGCTCTCTCCCTGCCTCTGCCCAAGTTCTGACTGGCTGCTGCACCTGTAGGCGTCACCCTACAGGATAGTGAAAAAAACAAGAAGGGCTGATCTGACTGGCTGTTGTGATGAGACACAGTTGGTCTGGTCTAACAATGAACCCACTGTGGGTACAGCTGGTACTGACTATGTCACTTTACAAACAAAAACAATTGGGTAACCAGCTCACAAGTAAGAACATGTAATTACAGCGGACTGTTTCACCTGGTGGTTGGACATCACAGTTACTTTTCTACCCATATTTTTAGCTGCCATTTGTGCCAATTCATTATCAGTCTGGGACATTAAAACTCTCCAATACAGCTCTTTATGGAAGAGGGAGGCAAGATTCACAACATTTTTTTACAGCCTCACACCCTTGAAGCTGTTGTAAAATCCTTACCAGCACCGTGACAATGATTTCTCTGGCCATTTGTCTGGTCTGGTCCAAGACAGCCAATATGCACTTTTTAAAAGGGATATTTGTGAAGCACTTATTTCACACTGCACTGAAAATCAGGCCTTACTGTTGAATAAGGGGTATTATCATCTAGAACCACTATCCTGGCAACAGGAGCGACTGAACAGTGCAGCCTGGGCATTTGTTTCCACTCATACTTTGTGTCCTTCCATTTTCTGCTTTTTGTCCCCAAATCTACATTTTGGCATAGAAAAGAGAGCAGGAGAGAGAGCACCATCTTTCCTTAACCCCCGCCTCTTTCTTTTCTCTCTATCTGTCCCAGACCTCTAATAGCAGGGTAGGCTAACCAAGCGAGAAACAGGCCCAGCGACCCAAGCACAGCAGGGGAGAAGGAAAACAAGAGGAGAAAAGGCAGAGAGAGAGAGAGAGAAAAGATGGCTTGTTACTGATGCCAACAGTTCATTCGTTCAGGTCTTTTAACACCACCTGATCTCATTCTCACAAACCATGATGAGACAGACGCCTGTTAGCAGCAAGTTTCACAAAAACAAACAAACAACAAAAAAAAACCATATCAGTAAAATAGTGAGAGTAAAAAGGACTAATTTTACTTTGCACTTCCCTCCTGTCATTGTTTGACACGGTTGTTCTTTTTCAGCTGTTGACTCGTACTGTGGTTCCTGTTAGCGGCCAGTTGAAGCCTTGCCTGGTGCAACCATTTTCCTTTTTCACCTACTCCAATATGCACAAATACGCCTCCTGCAGGTGGCACTGAAATGGAATTTCAGCTTGCAGAATGTAATTGATTAATGAAGATTTACTGAAATGTATTATAATACTGGCATAATTCTATCAAGGAGATAGAAAAAGTAAAGTAGCAAGAGAGACAGTGATGGAAATGAACAAGACTACAACACTCCCCCTACAAAGCACTCTTCAGCACATCTGTCAAGTTCCAAGGGCGTTAATATTATTACGTAACAGCACTGCTGCCCTCTCTCCCCTCACAACCCACTCTTTAGCTGCCCAGTCAAATCACTGGCTGAGGAGGACAGGCCAACAGACAGACAGGTCTAATTCCCCAAACCCCCTCTAAACCAGGAAGTGATAACTTGCAAGCAGTTGGAAGCTTAAGAAAAACATTGCCTTGACAGCTTTATACAGAGAGACCAAACAGTATCAACAATGCTATGTATTTGTCTAGATATAACTGCATTCATGCGGTTTTATCTCCTTTTTCTGCAGGCACTTGAACTGTCTCCATCAACGTCTTGGGGCTTTGAAACAACCTGCCAACTCACTGTTGTTTATATCTAGGGGTTGACTGTTCAAGGCAGATACTGTTGATAGGTTTAGACTAGAACTATTAAAAGTCAAAAATATGTGCCTCTCTTTATTTCCAAAAGCATAATACATGAAACAAAGCCCAAAACAAAGTCCACTGAAGTACAGTAGACTCTTAATCTGTCTCCTCAAAATGTTACATTCAAGGACACCAACACTGAACCCCCTAATATGAAGGAACTAAACTGAACAGTCTGTAACCGAAAGAAAAGGAAAGTAATTTTAAGATGTAGCAATGGCAAATAGGGTGAATAAATCATTATGGAGGAGACAGCAGAAGCAAGAGGCATCATTAAATCTCAAATGAAATGATAATGAACATAGAACCGGAAGAAATAGACTGAAGAGGAATGAAAGCTATAGACATCAACCATCTAATCATAAACAACCTGCTGTTGCTACGGAGACGGGTGCTGGACACAGGTAGCCAATCAGGAACATGGGGTGCATGGAAGGTGATGGAGGAAAGGGAGGAAAGGGAGGAGATGAGGATGAAAGAAGATTCAGGGAGATGTGATAGTGGGAAATATAGTTGAGAGTGAGCTGTCCCCGTCACTGGGAACACTGAAATAGTAATCTTGTTTGTGTGCATGTGTATAACCATTTCCACTATTAAACAGTCTCCTCTCACTGTCACACACACAAACAAAAACACACATGTGAGGATGGAAAGACAAATGTACAATTTGGAATCACTCTATATAGTGTGTTTGGAACTGTGTATGTGTGAATGTTTGTTTTACCTGCTATCTGACTCGATAGATCTCCTTTTGGTTCTTTAGGGAGGGATCCATCTGTAGGCATAGAAAAACAGGAAGAAAAAGAAAACTTATGTTAGCAACACATTATAAAAATTGTATGAAATACTGAATTAAATGGATAAGATCGGTTATTTTCCATGTTGATATTTTCAACAGTCCCCATACAGAAAACAAAACCAACAATGATTTGCCTTTACTCATTGTTAATGTCTGTCAGTCCTGGATTAGCTTATTCGTCGGTACCATAGACTTTCATTGTTGTTCAAAAACGATTAAAACACATCAAGGTTAACATGTTTTCTCATTATAAAATACAAGACCCTAATATTTTTTTAAATATTGACTCAAAGGCTCCAAATGGCTATAACGTTTTACAGCATCTGAAGTAAGCAAGAGTCCATGCATGAGATCTTTGGATATTCTTAACATACAGTATATCAGGGTCTGAGGTCCACTACTCTGGCTAGAAGAAAACACTCAATGCCACTGATGTAAGAAAAAGCTACGGCTTGACCCAGCCATATTCTCCTTTGTTTATAATGATCATACCAAGGTAGCACCAATTTCATAATTTCCCATGTACTTAAAAAGCATGTTCTGCTTCCACTGGACCAGAGCGTGCAGGAGTCAGTTTATCATCATCCTAAAACTCATGACCAAAGCCCACTGGTTTCTCAGCCAATACAAACAACTGGCCCATTGATCCAGCCTATAGCCTGTGTATGAGAGAGGTTGCTTCTGTGACTGAGGGAAAGATACTGTCAGGGTCATGTGCTGTCAACATGTAAACAGACTGGACATTCAACTGGCTGACTCAGTGACTCATGCTCCCTCTGTTCTGATTCATGCTTACTCCTTCCTGTTAAGCCTTACAGAGAAACTAGACAGCATTCAGAGAGTGCAACCTCCTCCAAGGGCAACTCAGTTTCCCCATAATGCCATAAAAGCAATATTCCCAACAAGGGCACAGTAAGGTCTAGACTTGACAGTATTATTGGGAAAACCTAACAATCCCCCTTGAGCAAGCGTTCAAGAAAAATGATAGACATGACAGACATTCACTTGTTGGTTTGGGGTAAAATCGGGACTTCACTAAGTGGGCTGTGGGCAAAGCGGTGAAGACTTCACATTTCTGCAAGTCTGTGTTCTGCTTGTTCAACAGCAGTTTGATAAACTACTCATACAGTCTCCATTACTGAAGGAGTGCAGCCCCTCAAGACCAACACAGAGAAAAATACACTGAAGCAAAGGAGGGCAGTCTGTGTGAGGTTATGCCAGGTGACAGTACAGGGGAGCACATGGTGCACCGCGCATTAGGCTCTGATAGTGATGTGCCTGGTTTCACATGTATGCATCCAGTTTTTTTGCCCATCTCCGTTAAAGTTTAACACATAGCAGTTTACTGACTGTTTCTGTGACATTCATCCATCCAAATATAAGTTGTTAACAATTAATCGATGTTTATCATTAACAAGGCTGGATATCAATTAAGAAAACTTCTCGAAATTTGCATCCCTAGTTCTGTGTAAATTTCCAAAGACCCAAGGCTTCAGAAGCATGGGAGCTCTTGACCTGATAAGAAAGGCTGAGTGGCTGTGTCATCTTTATGGTAAAAACTGTTTTCTACATGAGAACTGATTCCCTTCTGTAGTTGCTGAAAGACTGAACTACCTTATCAGTCAGCTGTGATCAGTCAGTGACATTTTGCTAGTGGTAATATCCATTAATGCACATTTAGTAGCACAACACAAAAAGAACTACTGCACACATGAGCAAACTTGCTGGCAACAACTGCCAATGCCACAGGGGCTCACAGTCATAAGGTGAAGCTCACAAACACAACATGGCAAAGCAGAGCTGAGCAGCCAACAGAGGCACAAATATCTCGCAGAATTTTCTCCAAAGCTGTGTACCTGGGAGAGCTTCACACAATGAATGGGATGAAGGAGAAAAGCATGGAAAAATGAAAGGCAAGAGGAAGACCAAGGACCCACATACTTCACATATTTGCAATGCCAAAGATGTCCACATAAGCCATAATATTTAACAATGAAATACCACACAACCCTTATGAATGCCCACATCTTATCATAATGTTATCAGCGAGACTTGCCGCCAAGCAGAAGTCAAACACATGGACAAAAGAGAGAAAACACAATGTATGTGTGCATAAAAAGATAGATACACATAGACAGTTGTGAATAGAGGCTTTTCCTCTGAGATACAACCGTTACCCGAGTAGCAGGTAAATCCAATTACACACATAGACATGGATACACACCAAGCCAACTTTGTTACAGATCATGGTAGGATAAGCCAAACACTAAAAGGTTAGCCGAGCTGTCTGGATAAAGTTAAAAATATCACACAGAAACAAGTAACGACTGTTAAGGAAATGACAAAGCAAAAAATTCAGCAGACTCTGTCCCATAAAACAGCCAAACTGACCTCACTTCGAAACATGCAAACACCCGATACAGTGAACTCACTTAGACCCCAGCCTTGCTGAACACTGCCTATAGTGTATCCTAAACTGTGCTCTCTTCCACAGACAGCTCGCTCTTGTGCTGACACACACTGTTTCTGTCTCCAAGCTCACATTAACACAAGACCACCCTTTCTGTGGGCCCCTGCCTTCCCTTTCTGGGCAGGCACAGTCATCATTTGACTCATGCACAAATAGGAAAGACCCCCTTTCATTTAAAAATACCTATTGTCTGGCTCACACTGACTGAAATAAGGTGTGAGGCACAAAACAATGAGCAATGCTGTTGCTATCAAAGTTGTTTTGAGTGTAGTGGTAGATAATGCCATATGGGTTTAGCAAACATTTAAATGTGAAGAACCATGGACAACATATTTAACAATATATTACCTAAGGGATCTGAGAGGACTTTTGTTTCTTACTGTAGGAGTTGAGGTATCAGTGAGAGTGACACATGGCGTCAACTTGTGAAAAATAGTGGAGTGGTATGTAATAATAAACTTAAAGAGATAAAGAAAGATGTGTTTGTGTTTTCTTGTCACTGAGCCAAATTCTCTTTGCTGTGGTATTTAAGCCCTGCACTTCCTAGAGATAACCTCTTAGTTAAACAATGGAATTAGTACTGTGACATCTCTCTCTGCGGATTGTGCTCTTTTCTTTGTTAATACAGCTAACACCATCACTGCTCAGCCAACTATGTGTTATTAAACAGTCCACCTCTGTTACAGATAGAAACAAAGCCCTCTCTAGATTCTGACTCAAATCTTTAGAGCACTCTGCTGATTTAGCATTACCCATAACACTGTCAAACACACAATGGCCAGCTAAAAAAAAAGGATCAAAATTGATGCAGCAGTACCACTTTTTTTTTTTTTTTATTACACACATTCTTCTTTCTTGTCAAAACCTGGCACCTATATCGCCCATAATGCAACTCAAACAGTTCTGGTGAATATTTAGGTGCCACAGCAGTGACTAATGTGTCACTGAGACGCTAGACTCAAGCAGAGTTGAAAGGTGACCTAAAGACATGTGGTAAACTCACTTTTTTCTAACTTCACATCCAAAAAATGTTTTCATTTTTTAAGTAGAGCATTATCATTAAACGAAGCAGACAAAGTGCTCCAGCTGTCTAGCCTAAAATTTGACCTACAGTACATGTCCAAACCCAATCCGGGCCCCACATGACTTTTAAATTTCTATCCAAACCTGGCCTGAGCCCTCGGGTACTGATGGGTCCCATCAGGCTCAGTTTAGGTATCCACACTATTTTGAGAGATAAGGTCGGTCATGTTCTACATATATTAACAGTGGCTGTGGCTCAAGAGGTAGGGCAGTCGTCTCGCTGACCAGTAAGTTGTTGGTTCGACTCCCGGTCTCCCCGCATGCCTAAGTGTCCCTGAGCAAGACACTGAACCCCGAATTGCTCCTGGTGGCTTGATTAGCGCCGTTGTGTGGCAGCTGTCGTCATCGGTGTGTGAATGTGTGCGTGAATGGGTGAATGGTGGTATGATCTCCCTGTAAAGCGCTTTGGAAAAAAGCGCTATATAAATACAGTCCATTTACCATTTATTTTCAACAATCCCTATCCAGAGACTAGAACCAACATGCCTCTGTTCACTGTTAATGTCCGTCAATCCAGGGTTATTTTATTCATCTGTGCCACAGACCTCCATTGTTGTTCAAAAATGATTGAAAACACATCAGGGGAACACTGCACTGGGTGACATGTTTCTTCATTACAAATTTATGGCAGTTTGGAGCTTTTGAAGCAACGTTTTTAACAAAGATGCAGGTCTGGTGTTTTGTAACCTTCAGTCCTCATTGAAGAATGACATTTTTCTGTCCAACCATGCTTAACTGCCTTCACCTAGATCCCAGATGCAAACATCCCAATTAGATACTGTAACAAAGATGAACAAAACCTGGCCCTGCCCTAAAGATCAGGAGTGAAAGTCACTGCTTTAAACTGTTCTTCTTTCTGCTTGGGGACCTCAGGGACCCTCTGAAGGACCTTAGCAGTCTGTAGCCTTTGCTTCAACACACAAAAGACCACTGACTGTGATGTTTACAGTGGATCAATTGCTCTCAGCTACTGGCCCTTAGCAGGAGAGAAAAGGGGGGTGAAAAACAGTCAGAGAAAGAGGTTGAGCGAAATAGGGAGGGCAAGAGTGAGGCAGCAGTTTTAAATGCACTAGAGACCCAAAGAAAAAAGGAGTACAATGGTCTTTCAGGACTTGTCCTAGTTTGCTTCACTTTCCATTTCATTCTACTCTCAAAATAGGAGCACAGACCTTTCTGGCAAATCTTTTGCACTGACCCTAATCAATTGCAAACCAATTCAATTATTTTACTGACCTCTTTCATTAACCAGAAACTCTGTTAACACAACCTGGCACTCAGCTCTCTACTTCTCCTCTCTTCATTATCTTCCTGAGGTCTCGCTCTCTGTCTTTGAATTTTACAGTTCCTCCTTTCCTTTCTCTTCCACCTGTGCTAAATAGCCTTCCTTATTTCCCTTGAACAGGGCAATAAAATCATTCAGTCA